TAGTAGGTTTGCTCTGAGAGAGGTGATGGATCTGTGCGACCCCATCCTGCGTAATAGCATTTCCCCCAAAATGTGTCGGAAGTGAGGGCAAATTTAGCTGGCTGAATTTCTGGCGTATATTCTGGAATTCTCTGAAATAAAGATCGTCGGAAGTCAGAAAAGAGCTGGCAACAAAAAAAGGCTTAGGAAAACACCTTTGCCTGTGTGTGCCGTTTTTTAAATTAGCCGCTGGAGGCGGTGAATTCAGTACACACCAAAACTGTAAAACAGATATCCAAGTCGCGGTTGGCATATTGTAACACATATTTATGGTGAATATGATATCGGTGTTCCAATTGCAAGATGTTTGACACATCTGAAATTCTGAATGCTTGGCAAATAAAGCCAAAACGCAACTCAAACGGCAAGTGCCTGGTACAAAGCGCTGTTAGGATGCATAATACATCTTCACTCCATAACACCAAGTACACTGTACACCCGATGATAATTTCAATTAAACGATCATAATTATGGTCTGCATTTAAAAACGTACAAGTAAAAAACACATTTCCTTGAGCACTGATGTGAGCAACCAGCACTGATGAAAGAAGCCCATGCCACTGTGCCTACCGGCTACCATGAGCTACCATACAAAGTATTTGGACGTGCCAGATACTTCAAAGGTTAAACCCTGCCAGCTTTAATGCAGTTACATCTGCAAGATATGTATATCACTTGATTGGGGTGACTGTGCAGATCACGTTTCACAACCATAAACTTATCTTTGCTGAAACAGGTAATGAGCGGCTAGCTCACCCCTGCGCGAGCAGAAACGGAAACTGAACGCCCACACACTGCACACCTTTATCTCTCCCACATACAACCCATCAAAGGCCACCATAGCAGAATGCTGCCGGGCAGGAAGAAAAAGCAAACAACTCAGACGACGAAATCTAGCTACCGAAGAATCCACCAGATTGAGGATCTGGTAGATGGAGAAAAACACCGACAAAAGACAGCAAAACAGCCGTACATCCGCGCGAGCGCGAATGTACGGAGGAGCCACTCGTCCTCACATTGCCATTGCGCGCGCTACTGCATTACCAAGCACATTTTCGTTTTTTCGCTTCGAGCTTTAAGTATGAGAGGTGTGTTATTAATGCGCATAAGAAGCTGCAAAATTTCATATTATTAAAGCAAAGAGAAATTGCATATCGCTAATAATTTTGATTATGTATTAGCCGGGAAGGTTGTCGGTATTGAGTGAAACGGTTAGAAAAATCCACGAAAATACATGTAAAACACAAGATACGAAGAACAAGAAACCACCAGTAAAGCTTCAGCTGTGGCATGCATAGCTAATGTATGCATGGTGCAATTCCAACCAGGTTGAAAACCCACATGCAAGACTGTCACCCTAGCTGGAAAAGGGTACCTGCTCTGATGCGAATTAAATTAAATCAAACCTTTATGCAGGGCTGCGCGCGAATACTAACAAAAAAGTAGCGTCACATTTAGTACGTTATGAGACAGTGACAGACCTACAAACATCAAAACAAGTTCAGATCGATGTCATTTTCGAGGCAGCCTGTCAATTCCGGCTTCGGTTATCAAGCACGTTAAACCTAAGAAATCATGAAAACGTGTAAGTAAACCTCAGAACTTCGAAATTAAATTTCCTGCCCCGATGAAATTTTAAGAAATTAATTTTGACGTAGACTGTGCGGCTACTGCAGACCGAACCAGTCCAAAGAAAACTATAGAAAAATTATTCAACTAACTACCCGGGACTGCGTGAACACTTTCAAAAACTTTTATAATAAAAGTGAGTACGGCCATGCCTTTGCCCATCTTCTTCTGGGCATTATTAGCGAGCCGGATCTCAGCTTCTATTAATTACGCATGATAGCCGCAAATTGGCCAAATATAGATCCAACTGGAAAATTAAAAGGTTGTAGCAGTCAAATCAGCTAAATCTTAGGTACCGTACATGCGAATAATGCGAAAGCCCGCACTTTAATGCGGGTAGCACAAAAGCTCAAAACGCGAGTGTCCGAAAACGTTTAGTTTGAGAAGCACAGATATGCTGACTTATTCAATGCTTCAGTGCTAAAGTCATCGGAAGTTACTTACGTCTTTTAAAAAGATCAGGCAGAGATCATTGCGCTCCCACCATAAATTCATTTCGGGGTGGCAGTGATAGTCGCTAAAAGGTATGTTGACGGCAGTTGGCTCATTCATGGCGAGGTTATGCCGGCCAAGCGAAACGGAAGTGCCAGTGTACATACTCCTTTTGAAGGCAAAGCACACGTGACCGGACGTCAGAATCGTTCTTTCATCCACCTAAGCAAACAAAAACCGAAATTGTGAAATACAGACGAGCGAATTTGTTTAATATGGAATTGCTTTTTATCATGATCAGTGCAATTAGCCATTTACGGCATTTGCGTGGCATTTTTCACCTGGCTGATTTAACATAACACGTATGCAGCCATTGATTTTGTGAGAGCAGTATAGCTGGAGTACTATGAGAATTTGAAAGAGAAGAAATAAAACTTTCTATTAAATGAAAGCAGCAGTAAAATTACAACAATGCTGAACCAATACGTACACCGTTAACGGGATTGCACCCGGAACAACCTTTCATGCGCTGACCAGAAGAGACACTGAAGTCCCGTTAACCGGTTTATCTGCTCTTGAGTCTTGATATATGTATGCATGACCCCAATCAAAATAATGAGTAGAAATTTTGTACGTTAATGCTGGATCTTACTGAAAATAAAAGAAAGTTCAGTAGTTCCTGCATTTATTATCAGTCCACCAATTTCTTAGCTGAACTAGTCTTAAACTGTAATCGTAGGATCGGAATCGGTAAAAACACGATACAATTGTAAATGCCTTTGCAATCTGTGATAAGTCATAAGTGTGATCACTTACGATCAGTCCGGCGCCCATGTGACTCGGAGCGTTTTGTCCCGTTTTAACTCCCTGAACGGATGCCAAATAATGATAGTCATGGGGGACCGCGTCTCTGGTTGTGACAATTCCTGCACTCAAATGCAAACGACAAAGCAAAACCAAAAGGTTAAGTGAGTTTCGAACAATACAAGCCATTTTAAACGTTGTTGTGTGTTTGTCACTCAAACTGTCAGCGCAAGCCAGTCACTTTAACCAATCTTTGTAATAAAAACGGAATCAATCACAACAGATAAATTGCAGTTCAGCCTAACCGTAGGTTGTAGGCGTAGCAATGTGGAAGATTCCACGCAGACGCGGCGTTAGTATACGAATTTTCTGGGTTTGCATATTTATAAGTTCACATTTTGATCTTTGAGCCGGCAGCGCAAAACATTGTTTATTTGTAAACAACATTTCCCACATATCGCCGCAACATGTGAGTGGTTTCAGCTGCAGTGAATATTTGTAGACCGGAATGTACGCTGTACATAGATGGTCTCGATCCAAAGTGGTTGGCTCTGATCGCGCAGGTCAGTAAACTTAACCCTCGATCAAGCATTATTTACAACACCTACTTTTCCGCTTTATGAGTTTACAATACCTACTTTTGAACACAGATACTGTTAATACAGTTTGTCACTTGTAAACAATAGTCTAGCGAGCCAGTTGCGATAGTAAAACAACCGGGTTTGTTGCCAAATTTCGTGCTTCGCCCAACGTTCATGTGAATAAACTGCTTACTTGCAAAATCAAAATGAATTTATCTGGAGGTATATTAAGAATTTCAAAATAAAACTGAAAAGTGAATCTATGAATGCGCGGTATTTCCCTTGCTCAAAAACTTTTACTTCGAAGCCCTGTACAGCATGAACAAGATTCTGTTTACAAGACCAGATCCACAAAATACTGAATAAAATAAGTGAATTTAAATAGCATTGAACATCATTATGCCAAATTCATAAGCCAATTAAAACATACAACCATTTCGACAGGTGTTGACGCACATTAAACAATTAATAGCAAATTATCAGTTACGGCATTTTGTGAAAGGTTTCAATTTTCTGTAGAACTCGCTGGTGTCAAACCCAGTGGGTAGCCAAACTGTTCTCGCTGCTGAATTTGTGATAAATGCAGTTCTAGATGTTTTGTTATCCGAGACTTAGTTACACAGACAAATATGCAACGGAATACCTGCGCCAGAGGTTCAGCATCGAAGTCCAACGGGGAAACGCGGCATCCATCCTGGGAACGGCACCACTAGGGATGGCAAGACTTCACTAGACTTCACTTCACTTCACTAAAACTTCGTCAAAGCTTTTAGTCACCAAAATTCACTTCACTAAAAGTCCAAGTGACTAAAATTTACTTAACTAAAAGTTTTAGTCGTTAACCGTTGTTAACTTTGACTAAATATAAATATTTATTTTCTTCAAAAATCAGTATTTGGTAGAAAGTTTCATGAGGAATCGCACTAGTTTTATACAGAATAAAGATACTGCATTGGAAATCCGTTCGGAAAAATGATAATTGCACGCTGTTTTGGCCCAGTCAGGCTGAAATTAGCGACTTGTGGACCGGTTGGGCTCAGCTTCCGATGGTCTGCGCATTAAAATTCTCTCCTTTTTGCACTTTCGAGCTCCTGACGAGCCAATTTATGGAAATCGGTTAACCGTCGCTTCACCAAAACTTTTAGTGACTAAAACCGACTTCACTAAAGTTTTTAGTCTCCAAAATTTACTAAACTAAAACCTTTAGTTTCGCAAATTTTAGTGACGGTTAACGACTAATTAGTTGACTAAAAAAATTTTGCCACCCCTAGGCACCAGCCTCGGCCAATTTAGATCAAATGTTCTCAGTAATTCGGCCGCCTGTTTCCGCTGTTTGTTAAATTCGAATGTAATGTTTTTCTTGTGGCTGTTAGATTATTTTGTATTCGCTCATCAACAGACAAATATTGTACCAACGGATGAAGGGAAGAACAATTTCACTAACGGTGCGTTTCACTTTGCACTAACGTTTGCCAGTGCGTTTGCACTGACGACCGGTGCGACGACGTGCTGACGACCGGTGCTGGCGACGTTTGCCGGTGCGTTTCACTTTGCACTAACGTTCGTCAGTGCGTTTGCACTGACGATTTCCTATCAGTCATTCGGAGTTCTAACGCAGACCGACACCCGTTGGCCCGAACAAAATCTCTCTTGCAGAAGCATCAGGCCATGTGCGAGAAAGTGTGATAAATTGTTATCCTAAGAATGGGATTCAACAATGACCTTTAAAGGTTTACCCACTTTAACTAACTGTGCGTAATAACCTTAAGGAATGTGCAAATTGCTTCGTACTGTAAGGCAGCTGCTCGTAATTCACCACAACAACGTATTCCATCGGTGCGTTGTTAGAAATAAGTTGTTATTAACAACCCACCGATGGAATATGCTGTTGCGGTAAAGCACGGTCGTTCAAAACTTTAAGGAATGTGGTTTGAGTACACTACAGTTCAGTATATCTGCAGAGCGTTCATAAAATCCTGAAGTTTTGCTTGCATTGCTTTCATTGTGTTTTGACAGTCACTCGTATCCCGCAACAACTAAATGGTTTAAGCCCGATCTTATTTCAGGTCACTCTCGCAGGTACAAGTACAGGTGCAATAAGTACTCAGTACTACAGGTGCAAGTTCACGAGTCAGCTCTGATTGCGATTACCAGAACTGAGAATCACCTAACAAGCATACAGCCGATGCTGGTTAGCCGGATGTACACGTGTGGGGTGGCGCTTGCCTTCCATTTTTTGATATTTTGCTGGAAATGACTTTCGTTCTCGCGAACGGAATGACCGTAATAATATAGTACTATAGATATAATACGAACTTATACGAAGCACCACACGGGTAGTTCCCTGAAATTGATAATATTATTATAGTTGAAACTGCGGTACGCTGTGTGCGGTCAGTGTGTGCTGTGCAGTGCTGAGTGTGCACTGTGCAGTAAATATCAGTACGTGACAATACGTTCAATTTATATCGACCACCATGTCTTATATTCTGTCAAGCGTGAATCATATAAAATAACTAGCGGTGGTTGCGAACCACATTAATGCACGAGCGCGAGGGCCCATACCACTGCGAAATGGTACTGGGATTGTGGAATGGGAAAAGCGTGACGTACGATCTTCGTGGCGTAAGACAAATTTTAGGCTCTTGACGAAGGCTTAATTGCAGCACCTCGCGGTTCGCGCTCGGTGCAAATACGCGTAATTACACCAGCTGCGTACGTGCGTATGAAGTCACAAATTAATAAACTGTCTTTAGACGCTCTACGATAAGATTGCGCTTACAAACTGGCTGCGATGACATGGAAACATGCAGCTATCTTGACTAGCGAGTGTCTTTCGCAACCTTTACTTTGCATTGCTAAATTTGCGCAGTGGCTGCTGATTTAACGATACCTGTGCGACCATACCTGTGCGAAACGAAATACAAAACTGCGCTAATTTCCGGTTACTTACCATCTGGCAAACTATGGGCTAGACCTACTAGCTACTATCAGCTATCAGTTAAACAAAATTCTCCCAGCGTCTCAACTATACTAAACAATAAGGTATCGGTCATCGAAAAAAATAATATATTTCTGCGTGGTGCTGAGAATTTCAGCGAACTGGGCAGATTAAGGATTTTAAATTCCATGGAAACGGACGTAAAACGTCCGTTTCCATTGAATTTTAAATTATAAACTATCGATAAAAATCACTAGATATTTGCTTTTCTCTATATTTGCATAATATAGAAATACCTTAAATATTCAGTGGAGCAAATTTGCCTTTTTGCTGGACGCGAAGTGTAGTGGTAGCCGCTGCGAGCGCAGACCTGCGCTGGATACTTTCTGCTATATATATGCAATATATATATATATATATATATATATATATATATATATTATGATCATATTTATACGGGGCATTTATATACATATATATAGATATATAGATGTATTATATATATATATATATTTTATGATCATATTTATACGGGGCATTTATGTCTTTATGGTGTTATGCATTTATATGCATGAGTGTTTCTGACCGATGATCAAGTGGAAAGGTGAGGAAGGCAGGTCTCATCTGGCCTGCAGGAGCAGACGTTTGAGGTGTGCAGTGGTCAGGTTGGTGCACGTGTTCTTATATATATATAAATAGCTTTTCGGCTGTTCAGAATACTTATGCGAATATGGGCTTGTCACACCAGTATGCGTATGTGGTATATAAGTTTGTGCAACTGTGTGAAAACCGCACAGTTGCTGGCCAGGGACTCGGAAGTACAGCTGTTAGTGTGGAATAAAAGTTCGGTCTGATAGCAGATCACGACCACATCCGGGATCTGGCGGTCCATGCACGGCAACGAGAAACCCGGGATCCCTCCAACGCCATCAGTGTCCGGACGGGATACCTCCGGGAAGACGTCTCTTTCATGTTTGCAGTGTAAATAATCACCCCAGTATTGTGAAAATCGGAAAGCAATGAGTGCCAGCGTTGAGAGTTACATTGCCGGCAGTGACCTTTCCCAATCCCTTCGACCAAAATCAGCCGCTGACGTTAGAATTGGTGTGTTATTTGATCGCCCGGCAGTTTTCCTGACAAGCACCGGCTCCGGCCAGGTGTGCACCCAACCCGGCTACGCACTAGGGCTGCGCATCATGCAGCGCTTCTACATAACCAGTTACGACACGCGCCAGCAGCTGCTGTGGAAGTTCTTCCAGGTACGTGTGCAGTCATATAAAATTAATATTCCTCTAGGAATTTTGTAGTATGAGCGTTTTCGGTCAAAAAGAGCGTGGTATAGGGAGTCAGAGTTTTTGTCAGAGCCTGATTACGACTTTCATTTCTCTCAATAAGCCAGTTCTGACCATCTTTCCAACCAGTGTTTCGTGTACTGTGCAGTTGGGCAGTGACACAGTTAGGCTATCACGCCGCCAAGGACGCAACATTCTACCCCCCCAACGCGGCCAACCGCCGGGAGGTTGGCAACCGTCCAGCCAGGTACTCCGGATTACATAAGACGCCGGCACCGGCCTAGGTAAATTCACTGGCTAACCGCTATTGGCCGCAAAGGTCACCGTGGCTGTCTTGCAAGGGCCTTTCACACGCTGGACATCCAGCACATCTTCGATAACCCGTCTCCTTCGCCGTGCAGAGGAACCCGGAGGTGACCAACAATCTGCGGCTGGTGCTGCGTCAAATGGCCCACAGCGGGTAAGTATTAAACTTCCGGTTGAAGGACAACAGACTGGTAGCGGTGTGTGTAATGATGCAGGCGGATGGCGGGCGCGGACTTCAGCCAGGGCGGCCGCTACATGGAGGTGAACCAGGCGGCGCAGTGGCAGTTCGGGACGCATAACTTGCCGGAGATGATCCGCTTCTAGGATGGAAGATAAAGTGGCCGATACACCCTGCCTCGCCACAAACACCTGCCAGCTCACCCGGTCGTCCGCTGCGCAGTGACACATTTAAACGCGAAAAGCACAATATAATGCGCTGTGTATTGTGTACTAAAGCCGCATCCTGAACTTCTAAGAAGTTGTAGTACGTAAAGCAAGTTACAGTACAGTCCCTTCTCATGTTAATTGGGACAAATTCTTCATTTGATCGTAGGTAGTAGTAGGTACTTACTGAGTGGTGCTCGTTGGTGTGCACATAGCAAAATAAATGATACTTAAGTTACAGTACTTGGTTTGGCGGATGGGTAATATAATAATATGTAAACTACGAGTGTAATATTGTTAAGTGTTACGCTACAGCTCTGCGTAAATATCACTTTTTTGCGATCAGTGAAGCTAGTGTAACCTGCAAGTCATGCATTTATAATATCGATTGCGTTGTACGTACTTCTACGGTACACCTGATTAAGCTTGAGCACATCACTGGACGGCAGCGTCGCTAGAAAAAAATAAACAAAGTCTAATAAGAAAATGGTATAACATTAGCTGACAGGTTCATCCCATTCACCACAAAAGCACGTACAAACTATGCTTAGCCGCAAGTCGTGACCGGAGAAAGCGCGAAAACATATACAACCGCTGATCCATCAATTAAAAATGTGTAATAAATGATTAATAATACAATTAATTACTGCTTAACGAATACGTAAACGCTCAACTAATAAGTAATAAGTGCTAGCGCTAGCCATAGTGGCCGGCACTTTTAAGGTATCTTTTTTCTTCAAAAGCATAACAACAAATCAGGGATGCCAGACCTGCTATGACATCATTCCGATGATGTCAGATGCTTGTATAACTTAGCTTTGATGATTGCATAATTGTGTTTTGATTGCCTAATCTAATTAAACACCATGGCGGCGGTGTACTGTATTGCTGCCGCTGGCAACGATCGGCTGCGTGAACGCAAACACGTTCGCAATAGCTCGTACCGATATCGATTGTACTCTGTACGTTTGAGACTTTGAGTCAGTTGTAGAAGTAGTGCAGTAATACATAGCTCTGACTCACTCAACAGTCGACAGACTCGACACATCCATAATATGTCATCACAGCAAGTTTGCCAAGAGTTTGATCATGACTCACCAAATGCGATTTACAGTTAAGCTGCAACACCCAGTAGCCTACGCTGTGATCAATAATTTACCATCGTGCCTGGATATTTCTCGGGAATACCCTCTCGACTTTCTTGTGTATCAGTCGCGAAACTCGCGATATACTTTCTTTATTAAGCATCAGCCAGTTCGCATAACATTTCGCGTGCGCAGCTTTACACTGATTAAAGCATAAACTTTAAAAATTGAGAAAACCTCCCAAATCGTAGGAGTCACCCGTGATCTTATGGCGTACGTTAAGTGAACCCAAAACAGTCGCTGCATTACCCCGGACTACCGCTAGACTTATTATTTGCGATATTATACGTAAGTTGCTAAATTTGCCACAAACAAGGAAACATTTCTGGGAGCAATGTTTATTTACGGAGACGACGTGCATTCCGTGTACGCGTGGAACGCCGTGGACGTGTTGATCGATGGGCAGTTGGAACACGGCCTGGTGATCGACGTGGCGGAGACGGGACTGATCATCGACTTCCAATGCCCCGAACGGCGCGCGCAGCTAATAGAGTACGGGAACATGTATCACTGCTACGGGGATTCGGGGCGCCTGACGGCAGCCGCGCAAGTCCTGCTCCGCCGACTTCCGGACGGGGCCTGGATCTGGTATCCGGGAAAGGTCATCCCCGTTGACGGCTACCGCTACGATGATTTTGAACTGGTGGACGTGGAACGGCCCTACGGCACCGTCCGCGAGCTGGTTCCCCGGGAGCAAACCCGGCCACCACTGGATGATGACTGGAAGCGTAGGCGACTGGTGAAGAAGGGTGAATTTGTCAACCGCGCGTGTCCGCTGCCGGCCACACACGAGTTTAGGCTGATTAGCGAGTGCCAGATGCTGGGCCGAGTCTTCAATCGCGAAGCGGCTAAATTCTTCGGGGCATGGTTCAAAAGCGTGCACAACCAAGAATTATTGTATTTGCAGCATCCGTTTGGTAAACCTCTGACAGCCCCGATAATGGTAAGTAAGTGGCGCCCGTGAGCTATATGGTTTCGTGCAGAGCTGACACCGAAAATCATACGCCAACACGACCAACAAACTAAGCCAGATAAATGTACCGTAGATAAACTACCAATTAGTTCACAAGTTAGACTACAGAATAGTATTACCGAAAAAATGCACACTGTACATGTAAATACCCACGCTGCTATATTTATATAACATCTATATCGGATCTATATCTATATAGAATATAAATCCGTTTTCAAAATCTAAAAATTTTTTATAATTTTTGTTTTTGTTTGGCAAGAGCAGTGTTCTAACCAGACTTGTGAGTGCCTCGAGGCCAGTTTGTCTGCTAAATGCCAAATGGAATAAACTGATGTGGTGTACAGTCTGTAGTGGCTACGCGCCATATTAGCGCGCTGCAACCCACATGGTTGTGTTGACCTGTAGAGGACACATTTTATGTGGTACTGCGAGTATTTCATACTACGTAGGTATATACAGTGTGCATTGTGCACAGTCCCTTCTCATGTAAATTGGGACAAATTTTCATTTGATTATAATTGTTGAGCGAAGCTCGCTTTGTACATATTGAGAAATAAAATCACTACTAGTATTTCATTAATATTATTATGCAGTATCTTATAACGCGGGGCCGTATGGGCGCCACGCGTATCCTCGACAGCGAACAGCGGTGAACCCGGATGAGGCTTTATTGCCGAATCTAATGCGCACCGTGGCGCAGCAACACCAGACTAACGAGGAAGGATCCTGCAGCCAGTGCAACTGTACTGCAGATCCGTCAAAACAGCGCAGAAATGTGCGGGGTGGAAATCCCCAAAAACAGCGAATAGCTACTCAGGAGGGCGGAGCGTCCCGCCCTTACAATCTATCCGGCCAGAGTGGCACAATAAAGACCTATGGCAAGACGTGACAACTAATACTATTGGTTTTGGCAGAGAAACATCTGTGATAAAGCAGCGAAAAAGATTTGGCTGGTCACACACCCAGATTTGGCTGGCTACACACCCACGCAGAAGGCGGTTACTGAGCTCAGTAAACTGCGGCTGCCGCCTGTATTGTTGGTGGAAACCTTCCAGTCGCTGGGCTCCATCGGGCGGCTCCGTTGTCGGCGTGTCTGTCATCTGTGGAACACTCTTCTCATCACCAACGCCTACTTCCCCGATGTGCGCGTGTCCGGCCATTCCGCGGAATATCGCGGTGAGGAATTTGAAGCAAACGATTTGTACTGGGCAGTGGCAACTCTGCTAAAATGCCTCCATAGCGACACCAAACTGGCGGTATTCAGTAAGCTGTCGTTGTGTGACGCTCGCGGTCGGCAACTGTCCGCACCGATCCACCATATCCTCAAACCGGGACACCTGCCGGTGCTGGTGTTCCACGACTGCAAATTCGGCGGATGGATGGATCGTATCCCGAAGGTGATTAGCCAGACGGTCGATGTAGTCGTTCAGTGCGCCTGCGAGCGAGTGGTGTGGAAGCAGTGCCGCCTCCCTGGTAACGGTTTACAGGCGCTGGTGTCGCACCACTCACTCAACGTCCAGTCGCGTCAGCAGTTGGAGCAGCAGCTGTGGGATATGTTCGAAAGAAATCTGGTACTCGCGAGGCCGCTAGATCGACAGGCCGTTCAGGATTGGATCACGGCATCTATTCCGCGGGTACCGAACGGTCGGGGAGCTTCGGATGAGGTTAAATTGATTTTGAAGGTAAACCGGTATTATTAACGCTGACATTACTTCACGTCCGATTTATTACATACCTCTTTCTGTGCACAAGGCAGCTAATAATAGGTTTGTTTTCGGTTTGACCCATCGCAATCCAATAGTGCGATTACTATATCAAGAGTCAGTTTCACTGAAACAAAGCAGCATTTTCTACAGTACCAATAACAGAAGCGGCATTACCTCTTTGAAGAGCTGAAGAAGTATACAAGCAATCTGCATTAAAAACTTGTGGCTGCGAATTTCGCCTGTCTTGTAGCTAAATCCCCTTTCCGACCTGGTTAACCAGCTTCTTGGCTGATTTACCGAAACTAATAGTACTTGGTTATTCTGAAGGAAATCCCTCATGTATGTTTGCAGCTATGTGCCAGCAGGCAGTCAAGTGTTTAACTGTTTATAGTGGCGTTACCGTTTGCAGGCGCTGAACGAATACCAAAGTGCCGATCCTCGCGAGTCCACGCGTTACCGACAGCGGGAGTGGACGGCGTCCAATGTCATTTTTGTGGATGTCCGTCAGCTGACCACTCTGACGGTGGCCTTTGTGAATGAACACCGTCGGCCGGGATTTAGCAAATCTCTAGCAGCGAGTGCGACCGCTTACGCACTGACCACGCCTCGGAAAGACGCTACCGCGACAGCTCTATCAACGCAGGCTTAGCTCTGCGTTTTGTGCGCAATTTTTCTGCTTGTAGTGCGCGAAAATCTGCAAGAACGGGAACACTAGAATTCGAAAACCGAACGTAAAAACGTACGAATACCGTTTTTACACTGAAACAAATTTCTGTTGGTTTTGTAAGATTTCAAAATGAAATTCAAAAAATCATTATAGAATTTTGAAAAAGATGTACTCTGTAACATCATCTGAATGACCGATGCATCCTGAAGAGATCTCAGTTACAGGGAGATTTGAATTCCCATGCTACATTTCGATCCTAACATGTAACTCTTTTATTTACTTGGCGGTATACAAAATTCACACAATTGTTCTATCATAATAAAGATGTACTTATTCCACAGCCTCAATCGACAACAGAAATAGACGGTCTAATTATAGAGAACATCTCATCTAAATTAGCCGATGCTGGTGCTGTTCCCATGACGGAGGCCGCATTCCCGCGTTGAATTTCAATGCTGAACCGCTGGCGCAGATACTCAGTCGCCCGTATCTCGCTCGTTTCTTCGCATGTAATGGGTTAACCGCCGACATTTACATTAATATTAATAACATTAATAAAACAATAAATCGCATAACCTTTAATTAGTTAATGCTGGTGATGCAGCAGAAGCGGCCGAACACCGTAAATGCGGCAAGTGTGCTGACTTTCTTGATCAGTACATTTTCCAACCGGTTGCGCTAAAAACAATGGGCAGCTGCGGACCACTCACCATGGATTTTATTAACGATCGGCCAGACGCATAAGGGAGCAGACTGGAGAAACGCTTGCTAAGCATTTTCTGTTGCAACGGTTGAGCATTGAAATTCAGCGTGGTAATGCTGCTTGTGTATTAGGAACGGTCGAGAAGCAGCATCAGCTCGATGGTTTGTTTTTGATCTGCTAGTTACTTAGTGTTTCGTTTTGAGTCGGTTTGTGTTACTGTTCCTTCACTGCGTCATTGTACTTATACATCATAATATAAATACGAATAATAACTAATGATTTTTACTGTCCTGCCATAACTGTTTCGGGAAATAAAATGCCTAGTAATGATGCAGCACAGGCGCACGCATTGGGCTAGCACGAATAGTCAAACACGTCGAAATGCGATGCCAAAAGAGTATTTCTGCCGCTGGCAACGACGCTGGCGTGAACGCACCGAACTTTGCCATAGCTCGTACGTGCAAATTATTGATCGTCCGTATGACTTTTGAGTGCCAGTTGTAAGAGTGTCAGCATATGGCCGTAATGGCTCTGATTCACTCGGCAGTCGACAGACTCCACACACCCATTATTCTCATGTTTCGCAGTTTTTATTTCAAACCGAACGTGTACACTGTTTAAGAAACGGCTAAAGGAGCAAGAGCTCATTAAGCATTTCCGCTCTCTGCCTCTCTCTACGGTGTCCAAAACAGACGCGGCGCTGCCGCGTTGTATCTCAATAAACAGACGCTGCCGCAGAAATTCGTGTGAGCGTGATTCTCCAGAATGATTCCGTAAACGTCTTCCCAGTTCTTTTCCCGCATTCCCATATTCATTAGTTTTAAGTCATCATATCTGGTTTGTCAGGGGTCCCATCATGACTCACCAATGCCATTTACAGGAAGCAATTCCCCAATAACTTAAGCTTTGATCAATGATATAGCATCGTGCCTTGACATTCTCGGGAATATCGTTTCGGAACGTGTGTGTCAGTCGCGAAAATACGCAGGTTGCTAAATTACCCGCGTACAAAGAGGCATTTTTTACTGCCATGTTTATTTACGGCGACGACGTGCATTCCGTGTACGGGTGGAACGCCATGGACGTGCTGATCGACGGCGAGCTGCAGCACGGCCGCGTCATCAACGTGGAAGAGAATGGACTGATCATCGACTTCCAGTGCCCGGAACGGCGCGGACAGTTGATCGAGTATGAGAAGGTTAATCGCTGCTACGGGTATTCGGGGCGTCTGACGGCCGACGCGCAAGTACTGCTCCGCCGGCATCCCGACGGTGCCTGGATCTGGTATGCGGGACGTCTCCTCCCCGTTGACGACTACCGCTACGATGCTTTTGAATTCGTTGAGGTGCAGCGGCCCTACGGCACCGTCCGCGAGCTGGTCCCTCGTGCGCAAACCCGGCAACCGCTCGCGGACGTGGATGAAGACTTGAAGCGTCGGCATCGGATAGAGAAGGGTGAATTTATCATCCGCGCGTGTCCGCTGCCGGCCACACACCAGTTTAGGCTATTTAGCGAGTGCCAGATGCTGGGCAGAGTCTTCGATCGCGGACAGGCTGGTTGCATCGGGGCATGGTTCAAAGGCGTGCTCAACAACAAATTGTTGTATTTGCATCATCCGTTATGTGATCCTCTCCCAGCCGATATAGTGGTAAGTGGCGCCCGTGAACTACAGGGTTTCATGCAGAACTGCCACCGAAAAAAACATACGCCAACACGAGCAACAATTAGGCAAGTGTACTTCGGTAATCCCGTTTAATACAAGAAGCGCGTTCTTTTTATGTGTTTATTGCGCCCGTATTGGAAAATTCAGCACTCTGTTGTACTGAGTCTGTACTGACAGCCCCTCTCGGGTGCGGGCAACAGGACATAATTATAGCGTTTTAGTATTAACCCGCTTAAATCCCATTGTGTCGTGAGGCGTGAACCCAGACAACTGGGAATCTCAAGTTCGACACGCAACTTTTCAGAGTGGATAAGTCGCTTGAAAAACGACTCTGCGAACAGTTCGTTCCGAAGCATACGAACCCCAGGCGCCCGGTACACAATTTTTTGTTACGGTGGTGGGTTTCAAGAGAAAAACTGGGGGGTGGGAACGGGGCGCCCCAGTCTTCCTTTCAATTTCTTATGCTTAATGCTTTTTTTTTAAGTTTCGTGTTTTTAAATTTTTTTATTTTTTCTTGTCCTTTCTTACGTTTTTGTCCTCTTATGTCTTATGTTTTCTTTATTTGTTTCCTTTATTTAGTTTTTCCATCTTTTTCTTATTTAGACATGTCACGGTTTTAGATTGTCTTAGCTTTCTTATACAAAGGAGGAGTTTCTAAGGACAGTACAAAAGGACGGACTAATTGCAACTTAAAGCATTTGTTCAACAAAGTAATGGGAAGGGAAGCAAGCTGTTTGGCTGTGGTTCTCTTAAGACTTACTACCTAACCTTGTTAAATCCAAACATTTTTTTATAGATTTTATTTTTGTTTTGTTCAAGCAGTGCGCTGACCAGACTTGTGAGTGTCTCAAGAGTTTGTCTGCTCAATGGGATAAACTAATAATACTGAACTTGGCAGGAGAACATCTGTGATAAAGCAAGGAAAAAGATTTGTCTGGCCGCCCACCCACTCTGGCCGAACCGGGTTCCTGAATCCAGTAAATTGCGGTTGCCGCCTGTGTTGTTGGTAGAAATCTTCCAGTCGCTGGACTCCATCGGACGCGTCCGTTGTCGCCGCGTCTGTCATCTGTGGAACGCCCTTCTCACCACACACGCCCACTTCGCCGATGTACGCGTCTCCGGCAATTCCGTGGAATACCGTGTTGAGGAATTTCGAGCGGACAATTTGTACTGGGTGGCGGCGGGCCTGCTAAAATGCCTGCGCAACGACACCAAACGGGCGGTAGTAAGTCAACTGTGGCTGCATGACCCTAGCGGTCGGCAACTGTCCGCGCCGATCAACCATATCCTCAAACCGGGACGCCTGCCGGTGCTGGTGTTCCACGAGTGCAAGTTCGGCGGTTGGATGGATCCTATCCAGAAGGTAATCACCCAGACGGTTGATCAAGTCATACAGTGTGCCTGCGAGCGAGTGGTGGTGAAGCAGTGCCGCTTCCCTGAGAACAGTTTGAAGGCGCTGGTATCGCACCACTCCTTCAACGTCCAGTCGCGCCACCAGATGGAGCGGCAGCTGTGGGATGTGTTCGAAAGGAATCTGGTACTCAAAAAGGCGCTGGATCGACAGGCCGTTCTGGATTGGATCGTCGAATCTATTCCCCGGGTACCGAAGGGTCAGGTACCTTCGGATGAGGTTAAACTGATTCTGCAGGTAAACAGGTGTTATTATCCATGTCCGCTGCCAGCGAGGGGCATGTACAGATATTATTAACGCTTGCATTATTTGCACCGACCGCGAAGCGCGAGGTGCTGCAATAAGTCTTCGTCAAGAGCATAAAATTTGTCTGAAGCCACGAAGAGCGTACGTCACGCTTTTCCATTTCCACAATCCCAATACCATTTCCCATTGGTGTTGGCGCTCGCGCTCGTGCAAAAATGTGGTTCGGAACCACCGCTAGTTTTATCTTCAATCAAGGAAAATGGCCGGTACATGGTGTACATACATGTACAAAAATGGTATACATATTCATGATACTCTAAAACTTTCGCTTTCGCGCACTCCGAATCACGTTTTTGTCATACTTTACTTGATGTCATACTAAGGCTAAATGATTTGTATACATTGATCGGAAAACCGTTTGCGCGCCCAACATCCGGTTGCCGAGATATGGCAAATTCAAGTGGACGAAAAGTTGAAATGCATTGTCGTATACCCAAAGTCTGTTATTACCCGATCTTCTTGAAAGTTTATAAGTCAAAAGTAAACCAGTTTCAGGTTCATAGCACTTTCCCATATATTTAAAATAAATTTTAAAATTTTTGAAATTCATTTTAAAATCGAAAAAAATGCCAGGGAGTCAACATAGACTAGTGCTCGACGTATACGTACGTATTAAATTGTTTACGGTGGCCGTTACCGTTTACAGGCGCTGAATGAATACCAGAGTGCCGATCCTCGCGAATCCACGCGCTACCACCAGCGGGAGTGGACGGCGTCTGATGTCATTTTTGTGGATGTCCGTCAGCTGACCACTCTGACGGTGGCCTTCTTAAATGAACACCGTCAGGCGGCAATTTAGCTAGCTACTCAGCTGCGAACGCTCGCGTTTTTGTTAAGCACTGCGCACGACCCAGAAAGACGCTAGCCCGCGCAAATTTGGATCAGCCACATCGTGCGCAATTTTGTCTGTTGTGTGTTATAACAGAGGCAGCCGGCTGTCCGTGGTGATCTCAGCGAAGGAGGGCGGTCAGATGAAGTCCTGTCTGTTGAGGAAATTCCGAAAAATGGCGATGGAGCGGAATCGAGCCGCTGGCTACCGAGTGTGATCCACGAAGCACAGTCACTGTGCCATCGCCGCTGTTGGCGAAGATCAAGATATTTATGCTTGAGCTGGAGCCAACCAGGTAGGCGGCGGATGGGCGGCTGCTGTGTGTACACTGGATTCTCCTCTTACAGTGTCGAGCGATTCGGAGCGAATATCTGCAAGCATGAGAACACTAAGTTATCCCGCCATGGCGGATGACACAGGATTGTGTGCCATCATTAGTTTCGGCGGGTATCCCACTACCGCCAAAGGGAGTGGACGACGTCCCATACCGCCAATGTAAATGCCGGTCAGCTGGCTACACTGCCGGTGGCAGTGTTGAGCAAATACTTTCGGTGGGCCCATTAGATGCCCTGAACATAAAATCTCCAGTTTTTTTTTGTAGCTGCTGATAAGCCGTATACACAACTGCTGATAAATTTAAAATATGTAATAAAGAAATTGGTAACAATTGTCACTAACGAAGTAAAGTGGGAAATTACAGCAGTAAAGTGTGAAAATCACCAATTACGGAACATGCTGCCGGTGTCGGTTGTATTTATAGCCGGATCATCCAGATGTATGTGTCGTGTATGCGGTATGTGCGCCATCCACACGCCGGCAACATTTATTTTCGCTTGATCTGTATGGCAAATCGAACCGTTTAAGTAAGTACGATTGGATGATTCACTCAGCAGTCAACTAATAGTCAACACAGTCGTTAGTCATCGCATAGTTGGATTGTTTTGGTTTTATCATTTATGTGGTTACAATTTTGTGCGTCGTTTCTCCATGATTTTCCTATCATTTCATAGTGCAACATCATCCAGTGTATTTTGGCACCCGGGGCACAACCTTCTCGTCTGTGCCACTCGTAGAAGAAACTTGTAAAACCTTTTTCACTGCAGCTTAAGATGTTAATTTACAGGGACGATGTAATTGAGTGGAACGCCGTGGATGTCTTGATCGACTGCCAGTTGCATTACGGTCGGGTGATCAACGTGGCGGAGACGGGATTGGTCATTGACTTCCAGTGCCCGGAACGCCGTTCGCAGCTGGTGGCGTACGGGAGCATTTTCCGCTGCGACAAGTACTTGGGGCGGCCAACGACGCACGCCCAGGTGCTTCTGCGGCGTCATCCCGCCGGCGCCTGGATCTGGTATCCCGGGAGGGTGGTCCCCGTTGACAGCTACTGCTATGATGATTTTGAATTGGTGGAGGTGCAGCGGCCATACGGCACCGTCACCGAGTTCCTCCCATGGCAGCAAGTCCGCTCTCCAACCTCGAGGGAGGAGGATATGCGGCTGGTGGAGAAGGGCGATTTTGTCATACGGTCGTGTCCGGTGCCGGGTGCCTTTGTGCCCAGCGAAGGTCCGATGTTGAGTGAAGCCTTCAACCGGGAAATGGCTCGTCGCAATGGGGCATTGTTCACAGGCGTGCTTAATCAGGAGCTGTTATATCTCTATCGTCAGACTAGCAATCCAATACCAGTCGGACTGGTGGTAAGTAACGGCCACGCACTAGACATCTGGCCGCAAAGTAAATTGTGTTTCTCGATTCCGCCAGTCGTAATCATAGATGCTTCACTACGCAACCTTTTCTACATGGTGCAGAACCTGCACCTGCGTACGCTATCGCAGTCAACAAATTACTCAAGAAAGGCGAAAGATGTACCTATATATAAAATACAGAAACAGCCTCGGCTTCGCCTCCGCGTTTCTTGTGGTCCATGGCCATTTCATTTGAATTTGAATGAATATTTATTAAAATAACATCTATATTTCGTCGAAACATGATCGGTACATGCAATAGGGCAAACACGAATTCTTAACAAAAATCAGTTCATGATCTCTCAACCTCGAAAGCATTCCCTTTAGCTGTACATACAGATACATAATTTTTACAATGTCCCCTACTCGAAAAGTACGCCGAAATATCGGTTCATAAGGTATGAAATTCGAAACAGTGATAGTGCACAGGATCACTAGTTTGGTGACTGGTCACTTCACTGGCTCTTTTCACTGGAAAGTGGTGTGTGCCCGGTGCATGGTGTATGTCCGTTCAGTAGTGGTAGCTTGATTACCTACTCGCTTACCTAACCGGTTCTGTTCGCCGGACAGTAGTTGCAGGCACTGGTAGCTCGGTCATTCGTTCCCTAACGGGCTTTGCACACTGAACGGTAGTGACAGTTTGGTCACTCGCTCACTTACCGGGTTCTGTGCACGGACGGTAGTGCTAGCTCAGTAAATCGTTCCCTAACGGGTTTTGTACACTGGACAGTAGTGATGGCTCTATCACTCGTTTACCTAACGGGCTCTGTGCACTGGACAGTAGTGGTAGCTCGGTCACTCGTTCACCTAACGCGTTTTCTGCGCCGGGCAGCAGTGGTAGCTCGGTCACCCGCTCACCTAACGGACTTTCTGCGACGGACAGCAATGGTAGCTCGGTCACCCGCTCACCTAACGGACTTTCTGCGACGGACAGCAGTGGTAGCTCAGTCACTCGTTCGCCGAACGGCTTTCTGCGCCGGACAGCAGTGGTAGCTCGGTCACCCGGTTACCTACGGGGCTCTGTGCACGGACGGTAGTGGTAGCTCGGTCACCCGCTCACCCACCGGGTTTTTTGCATCGGACAGTAATGACAGCTCGGTCAACCGCTCACATACCGGTAGCTATCCATTGTGGTAGTTCGGCCACTGACTGGCTTAGCGGGTTGTTTTAACTAGAATATTCGTGGTATTTTGGTCCCTCGCTAGACTAACGGTTTTGTGCACTGAACAGTGGGCGGTAGTTCGGTGTATCACTGATTGAACAGACAATCACAGTAGTGACAGTGTAGCGATAGCTGCTCGGCCGGCACTTGGTTAGAAATTGTCCTCGATGACAACGTTAAATATGTAGTCGTTCTTGTTGTAATAATAGCGGTCGGCTAATTATATTCATTGTGATATTGGATAATTTATTAGTGGAAAATACTTTCATTTTTAACTATATTTTAGTTGGTTTACGTGGCAACATTGCCTGGTTGAAAATACCACGATGATAATTATTATTATAATAATTTAATTACATTTGGTTAAAGTAGTCAAAACTCTTTCGCTTTGGCGTTCGAAGCGGGAGAGGTTTTGAGAGAAATGAATACTATCTGGCCGGGTTTTCGACTACGGGCTTTCAGAATATAATATTGGTTTTGGTCAGTCTTTTCTGGTTTGCCGGCTCTGGTGTATCCCATTCGTGGCAATATAGATCTGAATCCGGATATGGGGGTCATCCATATGGTATTTAAGCATAAGATTTTGAATCTGAATGAATGTATGTGAACGCATAGACCCGTAGCGTTCTCATTCTCTGTAAGGCTGTGTATAAGCCACAGTCCACACCCCTTGTTTTCACCTCTGAACCAAAAATTAGAAAATGGACTGCAGTACAACGCATGTATTTCTGCTAATGCGTTTATCGCAGATGGTAAAATAATTGTGGTTCTGGCAGGAGAGCGTCTGCATTAACGCAGCCAAAATGAACAATAAAGCTAGCACACCCGATACGACGGCGCTTCCTCCCTGCAGCAATCTAGGACTTCCGCCGGTGCTGTTGGTGGAGATCTTCCAGTCGCTGGACTCCATCGAGCGCATCCGTTGTCGACGTGTGTGTGCAGTATGGAACACTCTTCTCACCACGCAAGCCTACTTCCCTGATGTGCGTGTATCCAGCGATTCGGCGGATTACGGTGCTGGGAAATTCCCCGGCGACGAGGTGTATTGGGTGGCGGCGTGTTTGCTCAAATGCCTCAGCAGCGCCACTCGACGGGTGATGGTGAGCCAACTGCAGCTGTATGACGCTCGGCAACTGTCCGCGCCGATCCACCGTATCCTAAAACCTGGGCGCCTGCCGGTGCTGGTCTTCCACGACTGCGACGTCGGCGGACGGACGGATCGTATTCAGGAGGTGATCACACGCACGGTTGATTTGGTTGCGCAGTGTGCCTGCGACAGAGTGGTGTGGAAAAACTGTCGCCTCGCCGATGACAATTTGACAGCGCTCGTGTCGTACCACTCCATGGACGCCCAGTCGCGACAGGGAATGGAAGTGCAGCTGTGGGAAGTGTTCGAAAGAAATTTGCTACTCAAAAAGCCGTTGGATCGGCAGGCCGTTGAAAACTGGATAATCGACTGTATTCCGGGTGTATACAGTAGTGACGGTCTTTCAGAAGAGGGTAGAATGATTTTGAAGGTAATAAGGAATGTTTTTTTCTCGTCGGTTGCTGTGTGCATGTAAAGTATACCTGCACCAGAGGTTGCCTATTTCTGCTTTTTCCATATCCCATCCATTTCCTATTTTCTTACAGTTTTTACCACCCATCTCCGTTCCATAATTCTGCACGTATTAGTTTTCACGTCGTATTTTTCTGCGGGTTTATGATTAATGTGGGTCAGTGTTAGATCGACTCTTGTTTCTAAACAACAGTTGTACTCTGCTCGCTATCTTAAAATAATTCCTTGTATTTTTTTCTTTATTTTTGATTAAAAGTACCGCAGAGAAAAAGCTGAGAAAGCATTTTTTTTGTGACGAAAATCAAAAAGGAAAAGAATTCCCTGAATTTCCTTCTTTTGAAATGCTCCTCTCCGAGGTTTTCGTGAAACAAAAACTGATATTCCGTTAGACAGAAAAGTGATTTTCACTGGAGTACAGGTTATTCTAAAAGGAAATCGGTAATATACGTAAGGAACTGTGCTCCTTGAAGGTGCCTAATATGAGCCTCCAAGGCAGTCAGATTACTGCTCGTGTTTTAACACTGACCAGTGAGTCAGTGACCACGTTTCCGTTTGCAGGCGTTGAACGAGTACCAGAGTGCCGATCCCCGTCAGTCCACGCGTTACCGCCAGCGGGCGTGGACGCCGTTCAATATTGTCGATGTGGATGTCCGCCAGCTGACCACACTGACAGTGACCTTCATTAATGAACACCTCCACCCGGCGCCATCAAAACCGAGGGTTCTGTAAGCATGCCCCGGGATGGCGCCGCCTAAAGGGCGACAATGATGCTGCACAAACGTAAATTTTACAGTCTGATCATCCATAGTTTCATCACTCTCGTGCATAGTTTCGTCTCTATGATGGTAACACTCCATTAAAGATGGCGCAGTTACACAACTAAATGGATACGGTGTACTAAATAGAGTGTGAACAGTCCCTTCTCATGTTAATTGGGAGAAATTCTTTATCTGATTGTATAATAATTGTAACAACAGCCTATCTGGCTGCTGTTCTAAACTTCTAGTGGGGTGACGATCGGTCTTTACCACGATTATGCGGCTGCTAGGATGAAAGGTGGCACGAACGGCAACGATGCTGGCCGGGGACGCTCTTACTGATGTGACACAATTACACAGGTGGCTCCGATTGGGATGACGCTGGTTCATCCCAAGCGGTCAAACACAACAACGTAACTCAAGGCATGTTTAATGACAAGGCGTTCAAGAAACGGAGCAATGTTGTAAGCAAGGGTTCGAGAAAGAAGCACAAGTTGACCAAGCAGATGCAAGCTGTAGCAAGCTGAGCACAAGACTGAATTCTACCTAGAAATCCATGAGAAAGAAAAGCCGGTAAAGTGGACACAAAATTCATAACGCGATGAGACGATGAATCATAACTAGGTGGTCTTATCGTTCGTACAAATAGTATCGCTTCAATATCCTGAGTACTCAGTGAGTAGTGCTCGTTAATCACGATTCACGGTTAATGCGCATATTGAAAAATAAATGTTATAATTGAATAGAATTAGAAAAATTCTAATGTTTACTAAAATTGAACCTTAGATCAACCACAGAAGTTAGGTCGGTATATCGGAATGTTTTTATCTTCAGACTTTTGATTTTAAGTGCAACGGCAACATTAAGATGGAGTTTCGGTTAAACAAAACAGCCTTTCGACTGTGCGGATAAGTAAACAGCCTTCTCGACAGAAGCAGCAACTACCTCAATAAATTGCTAAAGAAATCATTTTGTTTGAATTCTTGCAGCTTCGAATCTTACCGGTTTATTCTAAAAGCCTCTTCAATTCCGATCAACATCACCTATAGCACGGCTAGTACACGTTAAATTTTTTCGGGCATGTGTTTTTACTTGTATACAATAGTATACACATTACACAGTATCCCACAGTATCCTTTGCGTATCCTTCATGTATCCACCAAATTTTCTACTTTGTTTTAGTTACTGCAGTATCCCACCTTAATCTCTGCAGTACTTATTCTTAATGTGCAACCCAAATATAAGTGTTATCCGGATATACTCGACGGATGCAGTAAGGATATGTCAAGATACGTTGGAGTACTGCAGTTACTGATGACCAACAAGCCTGCAGATGATACGACAGGAAACCGGCGGAAAACGAGTCCCGGAATTTGTTCGCCAGCGGATCAGCATCGAAATCCAACGAGAAAATGCAGCATCGATCATCTTAGGGACCGCGCCGATAGGGGTTAGGCCGCCCCTGTCGATTGATGCTTAATGTGATCGCTTCCGAAGTTATTGTGAAAGTGATATTACTGACATGCGAAGGCTTCATGAAGGATACGTAAAGGATACGGTGGGATACTGTGGTTTGCAAAGGTGATGCGCATCCAAACATACTTAGTGTGTTTTCTGCACCTATTGCAGATATTGTTAAGTCATTCTTTTTAACTGGCGTATCCTCCATGTATCCCGTTACTGCGCTTTCTTAATTTTCTTAGGTTTTTTAACGGGGTTCTTGTTGAATACGTACGTATTGGATACTGCAGAGATACAGAGGTAAACGGCAACAATCAAACAGAAGTGAAAAAATTGTAAGGATACATGAGGGATACGTAACGGATACCGTGGGATGCGCGGGAAACCGTGGATACAAGAAAAAAAACATGCCTCTAAAGTTTTAACGTGTTACGAAGTCGTCCATACTGTATCTATAGATATCTACACGACTGTCTTATTTTTAATTGGCGGTATACCAAAAGTCACACAATTTTTCTATCATAATAAAGATGTACTAATTCCTGAGGCTCAGCCGACAACTGAAATAGACGGCCTGATTACTATACAGAACATCTCATCAGATGAGATGTTCTGTTACTAGATTCTAAACTAGCCTCTGTTCTACACGACTGGCCGGGGTAAAAATTAGTATGAGAGAGTACAGTGCATGGCGCCCGCCAGGAGCGATAGCTACGTTAATAATCAGCCCGATGGTGTCGCATGGTTTTGATAAGTACGTAACTTTTGATTGGAAATTTTGCAACCAGCAACAATCAACATTTCTTCATCTTCACATCGTTTTCTTTTTGACTTATTAATATTGTGTGAATATTTCCCCCTTCAGAATTTCGCTGGTATCCTCGGCTAGCGTGAACTTAATTTGTGCCAGTCATGAGAGCGAGTTGGTAGACTGCAAGAAACAGTTATTCACGGGGTCTGTCAGTCTGTTAGGCAGTGTTAGGCTGTTAGCAATGTTATTTTACGGAGGCCCTCAGCATTCCGTGTGCGCATGGAACGCCGTGGATGTGCTGATTGACGGCCAGCTGCAGCACGGCCGCGTCATCAACGTGGCCGAGAAGGGACTGATCATTGATTTTGAATGTCCGTCACGGCGCTCACAATTAGTCAAATACGGGAATACGAGAATGTTCCGCTGCCACAAGCAGTATGAGCGCCCGATAGAATTCGCGCAGGTTCTGTTGCGCCGTCATCCTGACGGCGCCTGGATCTGGTACTGGGGAAAGATCGTCCCCGTGGACAGCTACTCCTCGGCCGATTTTGAATATCTTGACGTGGAGCGACCGTACGGCACCGTCCGCGAACTGGTCCCTAGGGAGCAGATTCGCTCGCCACTTAGCTGCGCAATCGAAGCCCAGCTGCGCGTGAAGGCGGGGGATTTCGTTGTGCGCTCGTCTCCGCTGCCCTTCGCCTATCGGTCCTTGTCCAACGATTGGCATTTACTTGGGCAGGCCGTCCATGGCGAATTAGCTCGACGCCACGGATTGCTGTTTACAGGGGTGGTAAGCGAGGAGATTTGCTATTTGCAGCATCAGACTGGCACCCCGCTGACCCGCCAGCATGTGGTAGGTGCTAGGTAGTAGGTACTGTAGATAGTGCCAGACGATGCAAATTTACACTGTACAAGCTTATCCCATAGTTTCTATCGCATCCACACAGCGACAAATACAAATTCACGAGTTACCCCAAACTCCATACTACGGCGCGCCACCCCACACTCGTTCCCAATGATCCGGTCTACATGCATGGACCAGCATGGCTGATGCAATTATGCAAGCCAGATATCGATCGGCCATTCAAAGAAATAAAATCACTAACTTTTATTCTTTATAATTAATCTATAAAACATTAATTTTTCTCCTTTATAACGCGGGATCGTATGGGCAGCACGCGTATCCTCGACAGAACGACCCGGAAACATCGACTTTATTGGCGATGTTGCCGCCGCACCAACAACCACCAACTGAGAAAAGCGGAATCTGCAGGCAGTGCAACTGTGTTGTAGATCTGTCAAAATAGCGAGAAAATGTACGGGGTGGGAATCCTCAAACAACGAAAAGCAAGTCAGGTGGAAGGAGAGTCTCGCCCTGACACCTTTATAATTAATCTGTAAAATACCAGTAATAACCCTGGATACTGAAATTTGCGAATTTGCCATTGTGGTAGAATTAGTGCGCTACCAAGCTTTCATACCGCAGATTTGGCACTAAATCCATGCATCGTTATCTTTACGTTAGAAATTGCGGGCGAACTCGCTAGATACATACGACTTCGTACACGTTAAATTTTTCGAGGCATGTTTGGTTGCTTGTATCCACAGTATCCCGCCGTGTCCCACGGTATCCTCTGTGTATCCCTAATGTATCTTTTAACTTCTTTTCGACTGTTGCAGTATCCCTCCGTATCTCTGCAGTATCCTCTATGTATCTCACATGAACCCCGTTAAAAAACCTAAGAAACTTAAGCAAAAAAAAATAAAAGAAAATGTCGCGCTACATGGATTATACGCAGAAGATACTGCGGGGATACTGTGAGTGTGGGATACGCTAGTTAAAAAGAATGACTACATACTTGCAACAATATTAATTTTGCAGTACATTGCAAAATACATAATAAGTATGTTTGGATGCGTATCATCTTTGAAACCACAGTATCCCACCGTATCCCACAGTATCCTTCATGTATCCCGATGAATACAGTTTTAAGGGTGATCACTCATCAGTAACTGCAGTATCCCAACGTATCTTAACGTGTCCTTACTGTATCCGTCGAGTATCCGGATAACTGCACAAAGGAAACTGCAAGATACGGTCGGATACTGCAGTGATTAAAAAACGTAGAAAATCTGGAGGATAGACGAAGATTACGCAGAGGATAATGTGGAATACGCCATGATACTGTGGATACAAGGAAAATCTCATACCCGAAAAAATTTAACGTGTACTTACCATGCCACAGGTGTAGATCAGACTCGCACAACTTAACATGGAATCCCGTAAAATGTTTGTTGGTTCCGGCAGAACACCATGTGCAGATCCAGTACATTCTATACGACGCAAAACGAGGCGGGCAAGTCACAGCCACCTCTCGAGGAGGTCGTTAAAATGCGGTTGCCGCCTGTGCTGTTAGTGAAGATCTTCCAGTCGCTGGATTCCATCGGGCGCGTCCGCTGTCGGCGTGTTTGTCAGGTGTGGAACACTCTTCTCACCACCGAAGCCCATTTCCCCGATGTACGTGTGTGCGGCAATCACGCAGAGTACAGGGATTTTCCCCGGGACGGGATGTACTGGGTGGCGGCGTGCCTGTTAAAATGCCTGAGCAGCGCCACCAAGTTGGCTGTGATGAGCAAGCTGGTGATGTATGACGGCCGGCACTTGCCTGCAACACTCAACCACATTCTGGCACCGGGACGCCTGCCGGTGCTGGTGTTCCACGACTGCGATCTCGGCTCCACTTTGTCCTTTTTCAAAAGGGTAGCAGTCCGGACGGCTGATTTGATCGTGCAGTGTTCGTGTGACCGAGTGGTGTGGAAGAAATGCCGGGTTCCAGAGGAGAGTTTCGTGGCATTTGTGGCACAGGAATCCATCGGCGTCCAGTCGCATCACCAGATGGAAGCAGAGCTGTGGGATGTGTTTGAGCGGAATCTGTTCTGCAGGCAGTTATGCGAGCGGCAGACCCTTCAGGACTGGATCACAGAAACGTTCCGCAATCCTGCAGCTAATTATCGACAGCTGATTTTGAAGGTGAGTCAGTTGTTTCTTGAGTGTTAGGAGTACAGCCCGCATTGCTAAAAATAATAGCAATCTGACATCCTAAAAATAAATTCCGAAATTTTGATCGGGAGTGCGCGAAACGCAGAAAGTACGAATTTTCCCGTATGTATATGAAATGGGTATCTTGTACCGGGTCACTTCTTTGCAGTGGACAGGGCTTACGATTGAAACTTTGCAAGATATCTTTATGGCTGAAAGTCTGAAGCAGTCTGGCGATTAAGTAATCAAACAAAATACAGCCACGAATTTCGGGAGGATCATTCCATCAGAGTAGACCATCATAAAAGCACGTACAAATTAAGCTCAGTACTATTTTCCTCGTAGGTGCTGAACGAATACCAGAGCGCTGATCCGCGTGAGTCTACGCACTACCGCCAGCGAGAGTGGACGGCCGCCAATATCGCCGATCTGGATGCTGGACGACTGACCGCGGTGACCGTTGCCGTTTTGAGCAAATACTTTCGGTGGGCCCGTTAAGTGCCCAAACTGTTAAACTTTCCAGTTTTTCCTCAAAGCGACACCTTAGCTTTTAACCATACAGCAACGTAAACGTCTTTAGTGCTGCCTAAAGTTGCCATGATTTTGTATGTACAGCGGTTTGTAATAAAATATTTTAAAAAGATGTTCCTGATGTTTTGACTGATCACAAGCCTCAAAGGAAAAAAAACCGTTAATAATTTAATCACATACTGCAAGCGTTAGGCATCTGCTAAGTTCGGGCGCTATAAAGTGGACAGGGTCACAAGGATATGGCCGGTTGACACTCGATCGACTCTCTACGGCGGGCTTAAGTGGAGGATGTCCGATTTGTTCTGTCTGGATGTTGGTCGGCTGAGCCCACTGACGAGGGAAGTTCTGTACCAGTTATACTGTTGGGCCCAGTAGGTGCGCGAAAAGATGTGTGGCTATCAGGTTTTATTGTTTAACTGAAGGCGTTTCCCCAGCATTGTTAAGCTACTGTCGAGATTTAACGCCGGAACGCTGTGTCGCTTCTTGGGTCCCTGTAAAAATTAACTAACGGCTGACGTGGACTTGTGGAGTATAAACATGTGCGTTTTGCGTTTAAGAATTAGGCATCTCTGCCTTAATTTCTTTTTTTATTAAATCTATTCTAAATGTCGTTGTTTTTGTTTTGTGAAACGGATACTAAAAGTGATCTGAGCGTTTATTAACACAATACTGTTGCTTACTGGGGATGTTGCCGAAGCTTGTGTTCTTTCTTTTACGTGAACTTTTACTGGTGCAACCTGATTCTGTAAGGAGCACCCTGCGACCTAGCGCAAATTTCACCTGATTGTCGTAAACGTTCATTACTCAATCTAAGTTCTAAAAAAAACTTCAAGTTTTTGTGTATCATTTTTGTGTTTTTGTGTATCATTTTTGTGTATCATCAAGTTCTAAAAAAAACTTCAAGTTTTTGTGTATCATTTCAAGAGGTGCGAGCAGGAAGAGAAAAAAATAACAAATACATGAAGACGAAAAGGCTGCCAGTCGTTAACGTTAGTGTTACCAGTTTTCAGAAATGAAAAGAAATCTGCGTGAAGTAGCCCGTACACCTTTTCGGCACTGGACGGTTTTGTTTGATGTTCAGAGAAATCTGTCGCTGCCGGTTGAATTGCTGCTGGACGCTTTCCTCCCAGGGCACTGCATCGCACGCATCCGCTGTCAGCGTGTCTGCTCACCGTGGATTCTAATGTGGACCAGTAATCTCACGACCAACGCCTTTCGCATGCACACGGGTACCGCCAGCCGCTGATCTGCTTGGTGGTGTGTCTGCTGAGTCAGTCGTTTAATTCGTACGACTATCACGGAACAAGTGCAAACTTAGTACTAGAAAAGTTTATAACAGAAACACTCCCTCATTGACATCCTGATCGGGAATTGTCTGCTAAAATGCCTGAGCTGCCTTTATACCGGATGGCGCCATGCTTAGCAGAATCTCGCAGATTCTCGCCAACTGCTCGATGCAAAAAAAATTATACCAATTAAATGCAAGTACTGCCAGGAGCGACGGCTGCCTGGACAAAGCAGCTGTCGAACGACGGCTGCCTGCATCACCGCAAGGCCGCATCTAGCATCACCGCATCGTTCGATTTTCGAATGTCAAGTGACACGTCACTCAAGTGCATCTGTCTTTGATAACATCAGTTTTGGTTTATTGACAATTTGCTCACAATTCCGCTCCTGAGTTTGATATCCGAGTATCATCTTTATCACAGTTTTTCCAAAGTTTCATTGCACTCTCGGTTGTCTGTTACTGTGATCTGAGCCATTCGAGGCTGCGCGGTGTGAAACTGCAACACTCCAGTGTCTCTCGGTAACTGTCAGCAATGCTATTCTCCGGAGATCCTCGTTATTCGGCTCAGGCGTGGAACGCCGTGAATGTCTTGATCGACGGCCAACCGCATCACGGCCTGGTCATCAACGTGGCCGAGACGGGGCTTATTATTGACTTCCAGTGCCCGGGACGGCGGGCGCAGCTGATCGAGTACGGAAGGATCTTCCGCTGGGATGATTCCGTTGGGAGCTTCATCCGCTGGGTCGATCCGCGCCCCACGACCGACGCCGAGGTACTGCTGCGCCGGCATCCCGACGGCGCCTGGATCTGGTATCCGGGCCGCGTCCTTCTGGGTGACGCCTTCTGCCGTGCCGATTACGAATTCCTGGAGATCGACCAACCGTATGGTCCCGTCCGCGAACTGATGCCCCGGGCGCTGATACGACGACCGGGGGTGGTGGGCGCCCAACCCGGACTTGAGCTCGTCAGTAAGGGAAGCTTCGTCATCCGCTCGTGTCCGTTGCCCGCCACCAGTCTGGCCTTGGCCTGTGACGAACTGCTACTTTGGGAGGTGTTTACGGGCGACGTGAGTAAACGCCATTACGCGGAGTTCACGGGGCTGCGTGACCAAGAACTGTGCTATGTACAACGTCAGAAAGACACTCCAGTATCCAGCCAGGAAGTGGTGAGTTCGCAACATGCCGTTCCACTGTAACACGGCACATAAAGATGCTGCAGTTCGACCAGCAGCCAGTTTAAGAGACCTAAGGAACCCGAAGAATAATCTGAGAAACCAAGAGACCTAAGAAACCTAAGAATAACCTAAGAAACCAAGAGACCTAAGAAACCTAAGAATAACCTAAGAAACCTAAGAACCCTAAGAATAACCGAAGAAATCTATAGAAGGCAATACGTCGGTGCTATTCGAAACGACTGAAAACGTTGGAAATTATAAATAGATCTGCACATCAATAACGAAAAATTATAAAAGCAAGAAAGAATCCATAAAATCGGTGTTGGTTTCTGCAGAAGAGCACCTTCACCAGAAAAGTCATTGCATTTTATTTGGCGGAACGCGAGGCTGCCGCATCCGAGACAGTAACGAAGGCCATTCCTCCAGACAGTACAATGCGACTGCCGGCTGAAATACTGGTGGCGGTTTTCCAGGCGCTGGACTCCATCGAGCGCGTTCGTTGCCGGCGAGTCTGTCCGCTGTGGAACGACATTCTCACCACCGACGCCCACTTCCCCGATGTGCGCGTGTCCGGCACGTACGCGCAGTACACTTGCGGGGATTATCCGCGGAATGGCATGTACTGGGTGATAGCGTGCCTGATGAAAAGCCTGGGCCCCTGCACCAAGGTTGCCGTGGTGAGCCGGGAGAACCTGCACGACGGCTTGGGACTGTCCGCACCCTTCCACCACGCCCTACCGCCCGGCCGGCGCTTGCCGGTGTTGGTGTTGCACGACTGTGGCGTCGGGGTAGGGCTGGACGGTATGTCGCAGACCGTAGTCCGTACGGCGGAGTTGCTCGTGCAGTGTCGAACCGACACCATCATGTGGAAGAACTGCCGATTCGCCTGTGAGAATTGGACGGCCGTTGTCGCACAGGTAACCTGGCGCGTCGAATCGCGCCAGCAGATGGAGATTCAGCTGTGGGATTTGTGGGAACGCGGTGTGCCGTCCGGGCCTTTAGTGGACCGGCAGACCCTCCAGGAATGGATCATGTCATTGGGCTGGGACACGTGGAACACACCACGCCAGGATTTGATGAGTGTTGGCCATCAGTTGAAGATTTTGCAGGCTCTTAACGGCTATCAGAGTGCCGATCCCCGTGAGTCCTCGCACTACCGCCAGCGGGAGTGGACGGCCTCCAATATTCCCGATCTGGATGCTGGACGGCTGAGCACGTTGACCGTGGCCGTTCTGAGCCATTACCTCCGGGAGGCCCATTAGATACCCCACTGGGAATCTTTTCAGTTTTATTCAGGTAATATTATTAAATGAAGAGCAAACAACCCGACTTCAACAAGTAAATTCAGAACGGGTTAACCCATATAAGCGTTTCTTGCAGCTCTTGTTCGGCTGTTGCCTCGGTTTAGCATCAAAGCGGATAAAATTTAATATTGTCTTAGCGGTTTACCTGGTTCTGTCTCCCTGAACAGCTTACCATGAGCGTAGAATGACTGCGCACAGTATCGGAGGCTGGCCAAGCTGTTTCTTATTCTGATTCTAGTTTTCGTTCCTTTCTTTCCCCGTTCCTTTGGAAATTGAACACGTGAAAAATCTTCTGCGTGAAGGTTAACCTTCACTGACATTTTGGTTTACTGACCTACGACTGCTAACGGCGCTTCCAGCATCGGCGAAAGCTTTTCTCGGAACGTGTTGCGCGCTACATAATGCCTGCATTTACTCAGCAAGGGGACACCCATAGGTTACGTTGAGTTTTTCGAAGTACTTTTATTTTGACAACGCATCGGCAAAGAAAACAGCTTGTAAAATTCCGGAGGGCTACAACAAAAAAACACTTCTTAACAGCTCTCCAGTCTTGAGCAAACAAGTGATTAACATAGCCAAAATCGGGGAATGGTCCGTATTTTTTGGTTAGCAGAGTTCATAAACCAGATATTTAAATCCTTTTTTAATTAGCAATAGCCAATTACAACAAGCCTGCGATGATAGTAGTGGCACTACCTTAAAACGATTGTCAAATTTACACACCGAAGTAACAGCCAAAGTCATTATTTTACCTGGTTCGTATCATAAACCAGATAAAATGATATGCGGTACGCAGCGGCGCGCGCTGCAGATATTATCTCCAGCGATGTAATCTCACTCAGCTTGAGCGCCGGCATGCATTCGCCGCGATTTAATTCGGGTGCTGTTTCAGGTTGCAGAAGCATACCAGCTGGATTGTTTTGCTTTGCACCCACCATGATGTGCGTGCCCGGTGTAGTGCAAACGTACAACCGAGCTCAATTTGTTCCACAAAAATCTGAGAGTTCTAATTAGCTTCCGTTTAAAGTTTCGTTGGCATTCTCGAGCATCTCGTGCCCACTCAAAGTTTGTGGTTGTGTATGAGCAATGTTTGTTTACGGACCGGGCGTGAACGCCTGGAACGCCGTGGATGTGCTGGTCGACGGCCAGTTGCAGCACGGTATCGTGATTAACGTGGCAGAGACGGGACTGATCACTGATTTCCAGTGTGCAGCACAGCGCTCCCAACTGATCGAGTACGGCAGTATCTTCCGCTGCGACAGGGTCTGGGAGCGCCCGCCGGCGGACGCGCAGGTGCTACTGCGTCGTCATCCCGACGGCGCCTGGATCTGGTATCCCGGCAGAGTCATCCCTATGGACAGCTACCCCTATGATGATTTTGAGCTGGTGGACGTGGAACGACCCTACGGCACCGTCCGCGAACTAGTCCCGTATGAGCAGGTACGTCCAACGCTCGCGGAAGCGGATTACAAGGAGCGGCTGGTGGACAAGCAAGACTTTGTCATCCGCTCGTGTCCACTGCATCCACCTATGTGCCCAGCGAATGCCTGATGTTAGAAGAGGAATTTCAACGCTGTTATAAACAGTTCATCGGTGTGATTCGCCAGCAGATGTTTTACTTGGATCGGCAGACTAGCTATCCGTTGACAGTGCAACGAGTGGTAAGTGACGGCTAGCGTTGTATGCTACAAGTGTCTGATGAGTAACCCGGACCAACAGGAATTTTATGGCGGTATAACTATACCAAGATCTATCTCCGGTTAAACAACATAACAGACATAAGAAAACCTAATGAAACATAAGAAAAAAATGTTTTCGTCAACCGCAGCTAGATCTAAATATTTCTTTCTTTGCAGTACCGATAACAGTAGCATCCCTTAAAGCGTATAACGCGGGGCCGTATGGGCGCCACGCGTATCCTCGACAGCGAACAGCGGTGAACCCGGATGAGGCTTTATTGCCGAATCTAATGCGCACCGTGGCCCAGCAACACCAGACTAACAAGGAAGGATTCTGCAGCCAGTGCAACTGTGCTGCAGATCCGTCAGAACAGCGCAGCAATGTGCGGGGTGGAAATCCCCAGAAACAGCGAATAGCTACTCAGGAGGGCGGAGCGTCCCTCCGTTACAAGCGGATGAATGTTCACGAAGCGGTTCAACATGAGTGACTACCTCTTCTAATCAGCTTGCAATGAGCGTAGCATGACACCGTGAAGGCCGATAGCTCCGCCTTCATGATTGGCCATTCGCTGTTGTGTTTCGCTGTTTCTGGGTATTTCCATCCCGCACATTTATGCGGTGTTTTGACGGATCTACAGCACAGCTGCGCTGGCTGTAGGATCCGATCTCATAATCTGGTGTTTGCTGCGCCACGGTGCGCGAGTTAAATTTCGGCATTAAAGCCTCAATCCGGGTTCGTCGCTGTTTCGCCGTCGAAGGTACGTGGGCGCCCATAAGGCCCCACGTTACAACACATCGGAAGCTGCCCATTCTGTTTCTAAACCTGGTTTAGTATTGTTTGTGTTTCTGTTCTTACGAAACGTCGCTCTAATATATGCATGAGGCTTGCGATGTGGCCGCACAGTGAATTGGTGTTTCTATCGCTTCTGGTAATCGTACTAATCATAGCTGATTCGTGACCTTGCATCCTTTTCCTACCTAAACAGTCATTTGCTCCCTCGAAGCGCTGTATAAGTAATTTCGGTGTGTGAGAGCTTTAATAGGGTTATTCACATTAACATAGGTTAAAAGCAAAATTACGTAGTTCATCATTTCGGTTGAGAAGCTTTAAGAGGATCGTTCATATCAAAAAAAGGTTATAGCAAAAAAAATGTTTAATTGCGAATTCTGATTCTAGGAGACCATCTGTGAGGATGCCAGAACGACCAACGAAGCTGGCCTATCATGCTGCACAGCTCTTCCGACGGCGATTACACCATGCAGTCATCTGCGGCTGTCGCCTGTGCTGTTGGTGGGAATCTTCCAGTCGCTGGACTCCATCGACCACTTCCGCTGTCGGCGTGTATGCGCATTGTGGAACACTCTTCTTACCACGGAAGCCTACTTTCCCGATGTACGGGTCTCCGGCAGTTCCGCGGATTACGGGGTACGGAATATCGTGTGGACGGATTGTACTGGGTGGCGGCGGGCCTGCTGAAATGCCTTCACAGCGGCACTCGAATAGCTGTACTGAGTAAAGTGGATTGGTTTGATGGCCGGGAACTGGCCGCACAAATTCAGGATATGCTTCAACCCCGACGCTTGCCGGTGCTGGTGTTCTACGCCTGCGACTTCGCCGGATTTTCGGATCGTATGCAGGAGCTGGTCTCTGAGACGGTTGATGTTATCGAGCGGTGCGCCTGCGACCGCGTGGTGTGGAAGGACTGCCGACTCCGTCTTAATGAAGGATGGAGTCCTTGCGAAGACACTTTGACGGCGTTCATCGTGCAGCACGCCTTCAACGTCCGGTCGCAGCAGCAGATGGAGAAGGAGCTGTGGGACATGTTCGAGCGCAATCTGGTGCCTAGGTGATACGGGGTGACATCGGGTTTCAGCCACTTTAATAATACTCATCTTAGAACTAAAGAAGTTGAGCTCAAACAGCGACCTAAGCCAGATGTTATAGGACATCAGGCAATCGCCTTAATAGCAGACAGTCGCTCTTTGTCAGTGCACCTTCGCTACAAGAGAACGAGAAAGGCAGAAAGATGGATTATGACAACCAGACCGTATCATGCATACATGACCACAGGTCCATAATAAAGTCAAATATCATATGGATGAGTTGGTTGTGTAACCTAGGGAGGCTCTGGATCGGCAGACCGTGATGGATTGGCTGGCGGAATCGATTCAGCACGTTCAAAAAGAATTGGGCGATAGTCCGAGTGGAATGATTCTGTGGGTAAGCCGTTGTTTTTTTTTTACTTGACAGCCGGTAGTCTCTCCTGATGATGTGAACGCGTGTGCAGGCGCTGAACGAGTACCAGAGTGCTGATCCCCGCGAGTCGACCCCCTACGGCCACCGGCAGTGGACGGCGTCCAATATCGCCGGCGTGGATCTTACCCAGCTGAACACGCTGACGACAGCTGTTCTATTCCGATTCTTTCGCTGGGCCCAGAGGGTGCGCACTATGCCCACGCTACGGTGAACCTTCGTACAGCCCCGTGAGTTTTTGTACCAGTCCCATGAACATGTTAACAGCACTCGTTGGTTGATGTGGATGCGTTTCGGCTGTTCTGCGTTCCTGCCAGCTTTGGTTTCTGTGTACGATGGTTTGCAATAGAGCACGTTTATGTTTTATAAACAGGTGTCACTTAAAGATAAAAGAGTTTCATGTGCAGAATAGAGACCTTAGCTATAGTTCCCCTACATGTTCATCAATACAGTGGATGATATGCGGAAGTCGCACCGCGACAACCGCACTATGTGGAGTTAAAAAAGAAAGTGCAAGATCGCTACACTTGTTGAGATGCTATTATTTTGAGAGGACGCAGGAGAAACAGCCCCACTTAATTCCTGAAGTAGGAAATCAGTAGCACTGCTTTAATGCGGGGTAGCGCTGTTTGTGTATAGGAAATGCGTGGTATATTGCGCTTAAGTCCTATAATATGTAACTTTTGCTTGACTACGGTACAAAAGGGTATTTGCAAAAAAACTGCTATCGGTTCTTCTTTACTATTGCTCAGTTGGTACCAGATTGACGTATACTACCGTTTACAATTAAAAAAACTGATCACTCGCAGTTCATTTCTGAAGAATTGAATTTTACCGGCACTGGTATCACGTATAGTACTTAACTGAGTTCGGTTTTACGTACTTCCGCGTATGTTAAACGCTTTCGAAACTTACTATAGCCACATTCGATTAACCTTCGATTAACGGTTAACTATCGGAAAAATGCAGCAATGGCTACCAAAATCTGTCCTGCAATGAGTGGTATAGCAGCATAATAAGCAGCTGTGATCAAACTGGCACTGCTCGAACTCGAAGCAAATTCAACAAACTTCGTAACATTTGCGCACATAGAATCGTTGCACGTGCTGATTCCCATAGCTTTGAACCGCGTACCGGCAACTTCGAACGACAGTTGGTCTTTACCGGATGCAATCCAGCTCTCAAATTTCTGGGCTTCATCCTGGACATCTGCAATGAACAACGTACTTAGTAATTTGCGTTGATAGCCAGTACCGTCACCTAAGGTTAACGTTAACGGTGCGCGGATGGGTTAACATTTTATACTGGCGCTCGAAGTTTGCCTTCTCTCCGTTGCTTACTTTCGGTGTTACTGGCGTTGCTGCTGCGGAACCAGAAATGCACCGAGAAATTCGCCGCAGTTGAGCCTTCATCTTCCGTCGTGAACGCAAACCAATCAAACCGCTCATCTCTGTTCCAGTGTAGATACTCTGCAGCACCCTTAGCGGCCTTCTCGACGACTTCCCACTTCCTGTCCAGCTCCAATCCCTGATCCGTTTCGTTTACCTGACGAGCCGATAAACGCAAGCGGGGTGCTTCGCCCAGAACCAAGACTTGAGATACCACGGAGTCCACCTTGGTCAGTGCATCCAGAGCAAGTTGACCGGCGCAAGCCCCACCCACTGAAGCCATTTCCCACAAGGCGCGGTACCAGTCTTTGGAAATAATTGCTCCCTTCACCGTCCAAAACACCCTCCACCAGTCGCGCGGATTCAAATCACAGATGCCTGGTGATGCGGCATCCGGGCGCAGATAACAAGCAGCATGCGAAGCGAATGCTGTTTTCTTGATTTCGTTACAGTTTCCTTTATAATACGGTCGAATTGCCGGCACCAGTGCCACCTGCAGGCACTTCCGCACAGCGTCGATCCACGCGCGACCCTGCGATGAGAAGGAGCCGCTGCTTTGGACGTACAAGCCGCAGAAATGCTCAGCATACTGAATGGCGTAGTCACTGCCGCTGCCGGCACACTGATGCCGGCGTTCCAGACATTCCCTGTACCATGCGCAGTTACTGCCGTCGGGGCTGTAGCAGTCCTGAGGCAGATCGACGGTCGGCAGTATCTCATTATCCTCACAGGCACAGTCATCCGTAACACGTCCGGATTCAATATTGTGCACCTCCAGCATGCACTGATACCAACAGAAGGTTGCCCGACTATTCACACAGACATGGCGTCCTCCCGACTTCTGTCTAATGTAGGCGTTTGATAGGCAATTGGCAAACTGCTTGCGGCCTGTGTATCCGTGCTCTGGGAGAGAAACACACCCGAATCTTCCTGGTGGTCCTGATTGATAATCACACCGACTATCGTCGGTGGATGAAACACCGTACCAAGCGGACACCACTATAAAAATATAAGTAATCAAAGACTTCATCGTTAGACAGCGTATTCTACCGGGGGTCAGGCCTATGTGTAGCGAATAAGCAGATGTGCCCAAGTCCGTTTCGGTTAGTGTTTCGACTTTAACGATTGTGCAAACTTTTACTCATGAGACAGCAGCGGGTCCCTTTGTAGCTTTAGGTTTTGTGAATTTAACTGAAGGAATGTAACGAAGCGAACGTGTCGGGCAAGATATCGGACCAGGTTATCAATCTGAATTGTTTTGGAACAATACGGAACTGTGTGGCAGTGAGATAAGGTGTTGTGCTTCGACCGTTATCTTAACCGTCGCCGTGTACAATAAAGTTAATAATAATCATACTGGCGTCACGGTAACTTGTATGAATGCGTGTCTGTTCGCACTTATTGTGTCATGCTGTCAGCATATCGCTTATGCGATAAACCGAATACGACCGTTAACGGAATACGACCGCTTATGCAATAAACGGAATACGACCGTTATCAAACGATAACTTTCATCAAGCACATATAACAATGAGATGGAAAACAGGAAATGCATGGTAGACGGGTCGCTGAATGATCGACACCAAGCGGAGCGGAACAACATTTTATATTTATGTTACGGAAGGCTGTGCCTGTGCGGATGATGAGATACTGTATACGAGTATATGTAACTAACACGTTAACGTGAAATGACCTTTAAGAAATGTTAAAACTCTTTATCTTTGATAATGTCAACTGTTGTTTTTTCTTTTGTCTCGAGTGTCGAATGCTTTGAGGGGACCGTGTCCCGATGCATAGACAATAAATTCAAATTCAAATATCCAAGTACAATCGAGAAAATTAGCGTCTTTAGCGGCATCAGTCAGTACTCGTACTGCGTACAGTACAAATACGTCAGCAAACATTTCAATTTATTACAATGATTAAGTATTAAAAATCCAAAAAATGTTCAACAGAAAACGTTCACGAGCTTTCACGAGAATCCGTGGTCGCGGTTTCTGCTCTAGTATTTTTGTTCTCCTGCGTCTGACAGAATGTAAGAAAACAGCGTGTCTGCGCATTTTGGAACACCCTTCTCACCACGGACGCTTACTTCCCCGATGTGCGCGTTTCCGGCGAATCCGCGGATTATGGCGTTGAGGAACGTCGAGTGGACGGATTGTACTGGGTGGCGGCGGGCCTGCTGAAATGCCTCCGCAGCGGCACTCGATGGGTTGTGCTGAATAAAATACCGCAGTGGCTGGAAAGCTGGGAACTGGCCGCACCCATCCAGCACCTACTCCAACCCCGACGCTTGCCGGTGCTGGTGTTCTTCGACTCCGACTTTGACGGAGCAACGGATCGTATGCAGCAGCTGGTCGCCGAGACGGTTGATGTCGTCCGGCAGTGTGCACGCGACCGTGTGGTGTGGAAGGACTGTCGCCTCCGTCTTAACGACGGACGGCGTCGTTCGGAAGACACTTTGACGGCGGCCATAGCGCAGCACTCCGTCAACGTCCGGTCACAGGAACAGATGGAGAAGGAGCTGTGGGATGTGTTTGAGCGGAATCTTGTGCCCAGGTGCGTGCATACAGGACCATAGGTCTATGATAGATCCAACAGCCTGTCTGGCTGCTGTTCTTTTTTGGTGGTGATCAGCCTTCACCACGATTATGCGACTGTTGGGATGAAAAAGGTGGGCACAACCGGCAACGGTGCGGTCGTGGACCTTAAATGGCTTAACACAATTACTCAGGTGGCTCCGATTGGGATTACAATCATTCGTTCATCTTAAGCGGTCAAACGCAACAACATAACTCACCGCATAATAATAGGCGCATATTAAATGACATGGGCCAATGTAAGACGCGGAGCAATGTTGAGGACAGGAGATTAGGACAAGGTTGACGCAAGCGATAGCAAGCGAGTGCAAAGACAAATTGTAGAAATTGTAAAGAAGGACAGTCATCCGGTAAAATGGACAGAAATTCATAACGCGATGAAAGGATGAATTATAACTGGGTGGTCTTATCGGTCGCACAAATGCATACTAAAGCGAATAAGTACCACGTATCGTTGTTCGTAAAAAATCCCGATCCTCTGAAACGATTATTTAGCTATTTAAACCCAAGTAAATTTAAGTTAACTTCCGCAAAAGTAAATTAGAGTTAACTTCCTTAAAAGCGGGCTAAGATCACCCAGCGTTTTATGGGCGATCTGCACAACACGTAAATAACAAAACGGAAATTACTGTAGCTTTGCGTCTGTGTATACGTGCAGATAGGTGGCGCTTCATCTGCCATGTTTCGCTCAAGCTGACGCACCGGTCTCGGCAGTTCTACCGACAGGAGAAGCAGGCAGACGCGGAGACATTCATCAGCTGATAAAACTCACAGTTTTTCATCGATTTCTTGCTCATCACTGCGTTGCTATTGTTCAGGTGCCTTATCTGAACGTTTTTTCTCTATCAACTCGAGTGGCTTCCGTTTATCGTAGACAAGACATGAACATTCATGACTATACTAGTTCCCTATGAAGATTATTTATATTTTCCCAATTAATTTGTACATGTAGCCGTGAAGGCTCAAATAATGACCTCCGAGTACGAAAACGAGTCCGAGTATGCTGTAGTTACTCTAAGTCGAATAATTATGTCATATGAAACTACACCACTCTAAGCAGGGCGCAATCCGAGGGAAACCGAGAAACGGCTGAAAAAGGCGCCGATGGGGGAATCGTACCCCGGCTACGTCCTTAGATCCGCGTAGGCCGCACCACTGCACCACGGCGCAATACGTTGAAATCCTTTGAAAGATTTTGTCGCTGTACGTGAGCCGCTTCTCGCCTCACACCACTTTTAGATTCGGCCAGGCATCGCACACGTTGCGTAGAATACCGCACAGCTTGTGCGGCATTTTCCGTATATCAGACTCTGTGACGCAATGTCACCTAGTAAATGTAGCTGTGTGATTTTTATTGATTTCACAAGAAGCGGTAACATCACTGTTTCAAAACAATAAATCAAATAAAAAATAACTCATTTAATGCTGCCGCTCCCTCCATTGTCCCGAGTACGGAAGCAGCGTTGCCTCGCTGAATTTCCAGCGACAGTCGTTGACGGAGGTACTCATGGGAGCGTGGCTCACCCGTATGCTGTTGAAGTCGCTTGCCAATTTCTTTCACTAATCGGCTAGCTGACTTTCCCCATGGTCCAAGAGTTTCAAAAGCCAGCGGTACGAAGATGTATCTGCCCTGAAGGTACAAGTACAATCCCGCTTTCCTATCCTCCGCCTGTGCGGCGGCGGATCCCGCAGTGACTGATGTGGCTTTCCGGTGAGACATAGCCACAGTATCCACGCAGGTCACGTCCCACGCCAAACACATACCGCGTTGCCACGCAAACGTGGTGCAGCCATCTGGGCGGCGGTCCGATGTGTGGGATGTTCCTCGCGGCTCCAATTTTGCAGGGATGCCGGCTGATACTAACGATCTGCACAAAATACTGTTCAGGCCGCCATGGCGTGGATGCCTTCCAGCTGAGAATGCGCAGGACAAGCCGTGGTGACCATACACATCAACGGGCTTGTGGCACTTCGAACAAGAGTGTGCTTCACAGATACTTACACCAAGTCTCAGGCCGACTGATATCTTCACGGTGTCATCGTCCAAGAGGTTACCGATATGTGCCGAGGGCAAGGCATTTAACCATATACCAGCTTCCGGTGTCGACTGTGCGAGGAGGCGGGCCCGGTTGATTTCATCGTCGCGAAAGATGTCCAGCAGTACGGATAGCGATGCGTTACACAGTGGAAGGTCCCATGTTCGTTGTGCTTTTCTGGCATTATGCTCCGGGAGTTCTGCCAGGCGTGCGTTAGTTTTCCATAACTCGAGAGCGGCCGAGATGTTAACAGCGGGGTGATCAGGGAGCAATAATGATATTAAGTCGGTTACGGAGTGAATCGAAGCCAAGAAGGCTGGAAGCGCTAATTCTTCCGCCCGACGTATACCAATACCGCCTCTGCTCACTGGAAGTGTCGCCTGCCGCCAACATGGATAGTCATCGTGGCTGGTCCGTACATTACACAGGGTCTGGAAACACAACCGCATTGCTTCATCCAGTTGGTAGAGCTGTTGCGGTTGTTTCCAGGCATTACAACACCGCAGCATATAAATAATTTTCGGGGCCCCCAGGCAGTTAGGAGAAAAAGTACGTGGTGGCGGGGCAGTAGCTCCAGGCTATCACACGTCATCTTTACGGTTGCGCACTTCTCGGCAACAGCTGGACCGATGCCTTCGTCCAACACCGGTGCACCTAGCAGCAAGAAGTCGGTGTTAGTCAGGATACGTAGTTTCGGGTACAACCCCTGGAAAAAAGCCACAGCGTCGTTCCGGGCTTGTTCTGTTCCTCCAGAGATATAAAGCTCGCACTTCGCTTCGTTCACCACTAAGCCAATTTCACGAGCTTTCCGGATGATATCTCCGAAGACGTGTGCTACTGTCGCTGGCTTACCGCCCACGGTTCCATCATCCAAGAACCAGGCGTTTAAATGTGCCTTCAACGATGCAACGACTGGCTGGATTGCAAGGCAGAACAGTAATGGCCCCAGTGGACCTCCTTGCTGCACTCCCGACTCGGAAGACATAATTATCTGTTCAATAAATAGCGAAGAATGATTACCATATGCACAATGAAGAAAGGCTGTGTATTCGGGTAGGTGAAGTTCAGCGGCAGCCAAAACAGCTTCTCTGGAAACGGTGTTGAAGGCGTTTTTGAAATCAACTTTTAGAACCGCTTTTAGCTCCGCAGCGGACGACTCCACAAATACTCTTGTCGCATGCACAATTGCTTCTGCCCCACGACGCACGTTAAAACCAAGCTGCTCGGGCGACAAAACGGATGTAATACGATCGGCAACACGATAGCAAATTATCTTCGCTGTAAGACGGCGTAAAGTTAGACCAACCGCAATCGGGCGCAAGCCACCGTCCTTCTTTCTCAAGGCGAGCAGTTTACCACCGAAAAACACTGGTCGGATCTCCTCCGGGATGCTTCCGTTAATTGCCAGATTCAAAACGTTCGCTAGCGCTTCGCAAAGTGGCCTACATTGATCATCGAATTTGTGTCCGACCATGTCGAGAAGGTGTTGTGGACGTAAACCATCCGGCCCTGCTGCTGAACCACGAGGAAAAGTGTGTACGGCGGAAAACACTTCTGCTG